CATATGTGCATCCAAGTACGGATTTAAAAATTTTAGTGTGTTCTAATTTTAAAGCAACATTATGGATGCTGCCTGCCCCCATGTTTTCTATTTATTTAAAATTTATTGTAAAATTTGGAATGCTGTATTTTTTTTCAAAGTAGTGAAATTCATAAAATTCTACCAAGACAAATCAGTTTCAAACGTGTGCTATCATTTTATAAATTAAAATGTACAGGGAAGATTCCATTATATAGATTCTTACTCTCTCTTTCATTTTTGAGATCATTCCTTTCTAATCTCTTTCCCTTAAGAAATGCTTCCCTGATTTCATATAAAAGTCAGTATATAGTAACTTTTTTTTAATTCACAAAATTCATTTCACAGTCCATTATTATTCCAGGAAAATACTCTGTTCAGCAAGGCAAACTGTAAGCCACAGCTTCTCATTAGAAATAATTTAATAATTCACTTACCTGAGCATAGGCAAAGGAAGTTTTTGCATGTTTTTGGACATATGTCTGAGAAGAGCTGAAACATAATGCGACCAACTGAAATAAAACACACAGGGAAAAACATAGTAAGCAAGTTAAATATATCGCATTTAAATGAGAGAAAAAAAATAGGGTGAACAAATTAGAAAGTCTATTTTGTAATTCACTTTAATCTTTCAAAAGATATAACGGGAAAGCATTTAATTGGGTGATACCTATGAAGAAGACCACCACTTTGTTATTCTTAAAATTTACATTCAGCCAAAGTGTTTCTAGCCCCAAATTTATAGGATTTTAAGTGTGTTTTAAAGGAACTTTATATTATTAGATTCCTTGTAGTGCTGTCCCCTGTCAGAACTATGAATCTTCTTTAAAAATACTCTCAATAGTTGTGTGAGATATGCTTGAGCCCTTCCAGTGATGAGAGTGTATCAAAAGATAGTCATTCTGGCAAGTACTGTTAAAAAGAAAGGTTTCTTCCTTTAAGCACGAACTGTTAAGAGCCACCTTTCTGAATTGTACCAATTACACTTAAAACTCACATTTTAAGCCGGGCATGGTGGCTCATACCTATAATCCCAGCACTTTGGGAGGCGAAGGCCAGGAAGATTACCCAAGGTCAGGAGTTTGAGACCAGCCTGGGCAACACAGAAAGACCCCGTCTCTACAAAAAATTTTAAAAATTAGCTGAGCATGGTGGCACATGCCTGTAGTCCCAGCTATTGGGGAGGCTGAGGCAGGGGGTTCACTTGAGTCTAGGACTTCAAGGCTACAATGAGCCATGATTGTGCAGTGAGCTTTGATTGTGCCACTGGACTCGAGCCTAGGTGACAGAGCAAGACTCTTAAAACACCACCTCATATTCTATTCCGAGAGAGGAAAAAGAGAAGAGGTTATGGTTCCTTACAACATACATGAAATTAAAAGGAACAAGTCTGCAACTTCAATTTAACTATGCCAGAGAGAAATGGTTCTCAAACTGTGGTCTCAGGACTCTTTTAATCTCGTTATTGGACTTTTGTTTATATGGTTCATATCTATTGCTATATACTATATTAAATGTCAAAACTCAGAAATGTTTAAAACACAAGAATATACAAGCAGACGTTCCATTAGCTGTCAGAGAAGTGATATCATTACATATTAATATATAATCTCTGGAAAACTTGACCGTATATTCACAAGAGAAAGAGAGCACAAAAGGCAAATCAAAATCTTAGTATTATTATAAAAATAGTTTTGACATTATGGATATGTTGAAAGCACATCAATAAAATAAGAAATGTAGTTCTGATTTGCAATTAATTACTCTCTTGAGTTCCTTTTCCCTATATTCTACAAGCTCTTTTCCATTATAAACATTTTTAATTATTCAAAAGGACTTACAGAATAAATAAAATTAACTGTGGACCACGCATAAATCATGTTCAGAACAGATACAAAATGATTCTATGTATCACTAAGATTTTAATTTATTCCTGGCCATATCAGTCAGTTCCTCTGAGGAAGAAACAATGACACTGCATTATAGACATCCTTAATGGGTAAAGCAGTATCATGTGATTAGAACTTCCTGTGTCAACACTCTTAGCCTATAGCTTTAAAATAGCCAAACTGTAAAGCAATTTCAAAACTTTGTAGGTGACATTAAAACCTAAAGGAATGAAGAAAAAGATGAAAGAAAGCAAAAAGAAGGACAAGACTTTCAAGTAGGGAGCAATGTATCTAAGTTCATTTCAGAATTAAATACCTATAATATCAGTAACTATCACTGTTTGTATTTATATGGAAACATTTTACCTGTACAATAAATATATTTTCATCAGTCCTCAAAAATCCCTTGGAAATGGCTTAGGTGGTGTCAAGTTCAAAATCAACCAGCTCTGCATACCAGAACAGAGACTTAGATCTTTGCAATCCCTGTAAGATGGCTACTTTTCAGGATAAAAGACATAATCAAAATGTAGGCCTTTTCTTTAGGATCATAGTGACTTCAACTCAACCTGTTGCTGAAGTTACTATGTTGCTGTTGCTGTTGTTTTCAAAAACTCCTAATGCCACAAAATAAAAGCCGGTCAAAGTTTCAAATGCTTTTAGTTCCTCCTTAACAGAGGATTAGAAATTGTGTACCCTCCAGCAGTAGAATACACTTGAAAACAGTAGAAATGTGATTACATTACTATCCAATATTTGGAGGAGAACAGCAAACTAAAGTGGCTTTAAAAAAAAAAAAAAGTCTTGGCCAGGCACGGTGGCTCACACCTGTAATCCCAACACTTTGGGAAGCCGAGGTGGGCCAATCACCTGAGGTCGTGAGTTTGAGACCAGCCTGGCCAACATGGTGAAACCCCGTCTCTACAAAAAATACAAAAATTAGCCGGGCATAGTGGCAGGCACCTGTGATCCCAGCTATTCAGGAGGCTGAGGCAGGAGAATCGCTTGAACCCAGGAGACCGAGGTTGCAGTGAGCGGACATCACGCCACTGCACTCCAGTTTGGGTGACACAGCAAGACTCCATCTCAAAAACAAAACAAAACACACACAAAAAAACTCACCTCTAATATCTTACCCTCTTCTAGCTTGGTACAGAAAAGAAACAATTTCTTTTGCCCTCTTAACCTCATGGGACAAGGGATAGAGCGGAGGTTTTATCTCCTCTGTGGCATTATGTTAAGAGCAAAAGAAAAAAATAGAACAAAACTGAATTGTTTTGGCCTCAATAACGTAGTACAAGGTTAAACACTGGCACATCAGAAAAATAATCTTAAAATCCTGAAAAGAACACATTAACCCAATCAGGTTTGCAAGGTATGACAAAGGCTAAACTATGGATATTCAGACATTAGTTGAGTCTACTTTCCTAAGTTAAAATGTTTGTATGTATGCAATTTGAAGGGTTTAAAAACAAAAAGCAAAGTCAAAACAAACAACAACAATAAAAACAGGAATTATGATTTCTACCTATAAAGAGGTAACCTAGTATTCCCTTCAAACTAAAATCCTAAGATTGAACATTACAGGATACAGATCCGCAAATACTAACTTGAAGCTCATTGGCAATATTAACAAGTTTTCAACACATTTTAAATTGAATTGTATTATTTTACAAAAAACAGGATACCATGTGATGATTCTTTTATTTTGAAACTCAGACAATATTCTAAAGATATAGTCTTTAAAGAAAAAAAGCCAATGTGGTTCACTAGTCTAGTTATTAAATATTTTCAGTGATGGCAAGCATAAACTATGATTACAAAACATATTGAAAATAAAAAAATTAAACTGTAGTTACGATAAAGAAAAGACTTGGAATGAATTTGCAGAAGACTCTCTGGCTCCCAAGCTGATGAGAAAAATGAATGTGACAGTAACCCCATCTCCGTAAAGAGTTAAGAACCCCTGCTGATGATGACTCTTTGGAAACTAATTGCTGCTGCTGAATGAATGAATAAGATCTAAGAAAAATTTGTTACTCAACAAATACTACTTATAATCTGGTGAAATTTAGTAATCTTTTAGAATCAGTCGATGCTGGCTGGGCATGCCTATAATACCAGTGCCATGGGAGGCAGAGGCCAGAGAATCTCTTGAAACTAGGAGCTCAATAATCAGTCAATACTATTGATAATATTCTTATATATAGTCTTCCTCCACAGAATTAACGTTATGCCAATAAAAACACAGCTCTGTAATGGTAAGACTAAAATCTGTTAGTGTAAACATTAGTGTGTTGCTTTTATACACAACTAAGGGCAAAAATTACACAAAGTAGGCCAAGTTTCTAAATTTAATCTGAAAATACCAACATGTAGATCCTTAAAAACAAGACAGGGAAACAATATTAAGATTAATCAGGCAATATTGACACATGTCAAGCTTTGGCTACAGACAGGAAAAGTCAAGACATGTCTGTGTCATGTTGGAGATCCTGATTTGCCCACTAGGTGAAAGGAATAAAATCAGCAAGTACACAAATGGAATAAAATCAAACACCATCTTTGAATACTGTTCCTTGTTCTCAGAAATAGTTGCAATGGAACTGCAGATACAATGGTTTAAAAAGGAGACATGATGCATTATGTACAAAGAAGATATGGCAGTTGGAAAAGTGAGCATCAATTAGAAAACTGCTGCAGGAGTTGACATACTACAGAAGGCAAAGAATAGCCCACAGAAAAATTAATTACCAGCAAGGGGTGAGGAAAAGGGCACAGGTTAAGAACAGATCACATTAGGTAGGCAGAGAGCAAAATCTAGGGAGAAGACTGAGAAAAAGGAGCAGCATTTCAATAAAATTGGGGCATTTACTCAAATATTATCTACTGCGATCTTACCCATATGTCAGAGAATCCAACAGTGTTATATACTGTTGTGCCTGAGTTTCAAGAAGCTCACATCTTGGCTGGGAATGACACATGGAAATGCAGTTGCTATACAGTATGAGGAGCCATTGGTAAGGACACTTATATACATAAACTAGGTCTGACTGATGTGTGTGAACACAGAGAGGTAGGGACCATGACTACTTTACTTACCATTATATCACCAGGGACTTGTGTAGTGCCTGGTACACAGGTGTTCAATAAATATTTAATAATAATACTCAAAATTATTCAAAGACAGATTTACAAAATATGCTTTCATAAATGAATACCCAAATATACAGATCAAAATTATTCACTATGTGCCAGAATAAGTTATGTAAGTGGACCACCACCAAGATATCAATTAATAAAGCTATTTATTTTTGGGGATATAAAGGGGAAAAAAAAAAGGCTCCTAGTATCCAGGTAGTAGCATCATATCGCTAACAAAGAAAAAAGAAAGAAGACCAGCTTTAGACACGTTACATTACAAACTGGAGACAACAGAGCATAGTCTACCATTTTTAAGGAATAATATGCTGTGAAACAAGAATTCTACACCTAGCAAAGGAAATACAATAATTACATTTAATCCTGAAATATCTACTTGAATACATATGCTTAAGATGTAAGTCAAAGAATGAATGAATGAGAACAAACTGGTAGGAAAAGAGTGGCATTGAACACTGAGT